AATGGATGATAATAAACAAATAACAGCGAATATGTAAGAAAGGCCTTTGTCCTAATTTTTCTAGCTGTTTAAATTATAGAAGTTATTTGTATTGTTATTATATCTCGAGCTTAATTTCTGTTTCATGCAACTAATTACTGTAAACACAACAGGGGCCCACTAGGGGCCCGTATCTAGACACCATTAAGCGGGGGGGCATTATTTTTCGGTAGGGGGGGGGGGGGCGAACATTTTGAGGAAATTTTCGGAAAGGTCATTCTAACAGACTGTTGTAATCATCATGCTATGTAGTTACCTAGGCGTCTAATAAAGTATTCAAACAAAAAAAATCGTGATTTTTAAAATTTATTTAAAACTATTTTAGATTAGTACAAAAATAATGGTTTATAAAGTAATGATATACCGTGCGATTAATATGCGCATAGTCGCCTGAATTATACCTCCTGCTTAGGGAAGCGTATTTTTTTAGGTTAATATAAGGAACTGTGTATACTTTAATGATTGTTAGCAATTTTTGAGCGGGGGGGGGGGCGGGGCGAGCATACGGGCCCGGCCCACTAATTCCACTCGTGGATAAGTCTACTTTTGATTTCTAATCTATAGTCTGTATCAAAGTTGTACACATACGCTAACGCCTTCTGGTGTAATAATGTTGATAATTCATTATATTTTTCTGGACATTTTCATTTCAAGATTTTAACTTCAAAACTTTTTGAAACGTAGAAAATATTGTCATAAGAGTTCAAATTCCAGATTTTTTTTAGATACCTTCAGAAACCAATGAATTGATTTCCATGTCGTGTAAAATTAAGAAATTATTTTTTAATTTTAATATTTAATAATCTATACAAGTTACCGATAAAACGCCGAAAATGAAACATAAAGTCAATTTTTTGTTTGAAATGTTGATTTTGTGCATGAAATGTTGACATAAGAATGTAGAAACAAGAATCATTAGTTAAGAATGTTGCGTTCGTGTCTAAAATGTTCAAACTGGAATGTAGAAACAAGAATCGTGAATATTGTCCCATTTGATCTTCCATAAGTATCACTATGCAATTGGGGACGCTTTTACACGGGTGATCAAAACTGCTCTATTCAGTAAAATTCGTCTAAGACAGTGTATTACATAGTCGCTACTGAGAAATATGAGAAATTTGTTGGGAGTTTTCAACTGGTTATGAGTTAGTGACCTCAGGATGCTCGATCAAACTATTTTTAAGTATTTTTCTTCAAAACTTCAAATAGCATTGTCTTTTTACACAAAGAGACTAATCTTCTGCTGGTCGGTGTGTAATACATTATCTGATAGAGAGGTTATTTCGATTAATGGGAAAACTGACGGGAAATAGTTTGAAAATAATTGATATCATATTGTCATATTTCTTCATTATATGACTAATCATGACTCTTTCAACTATATACCTGTTATAACTGGTGGTATTATTCCCACCGGTGTTAATTAGCCATCTATTGATTATTGGAACTTGTAAGACTTTTACCTGACAGGTAAACAGTCTGAACAATAGGTGATTAATGCTGACTTTACCAATACCCCCATACTCTTAGTCAATACACCATAAAGAAAGATCGCAACTGTCTGAAAGTGAATCAGAATTGATCGGGAGACGATGATCTATTGAACCTAGTTGATCATTACCGTATATTTTGATAAATAATATACTTCTTCTAATGAAAATATTTACAAAATTTGAACAAGTATGTCATTTGTACATTTTGTAATCTAAATATCCGGTATCAGTCCTTCGAAATAAAATTACGTATTTTAGGTCTAAAGATGACATGAGTAACTCAGCCGAAAATTAAATGACTCCTTCGTCTCAGACTTGGGAAAACAAGTATGTAATATTGAACCATGGGTCGTTAACAAAATTTGGAGCATATGAATCGAATATCTGATTAAAATACAGATCTATATTTCTCTTCGTTTTTTTTTATACTTTCGATGGCACCTACTACGTGAAGATCTGGTCGGTTGAAGTGGAAGGTCGCTTCGGGGATCATACGAGTGGCTTTTAAACCTATGACGTCAGACGTTTGATTAACCTATCAGCGTTGATGTTTCTAGTGGAACACCCGCAGCTCCGTGCAGAGTACGCCAAGAACTCACCGTAACAGTCCGTTTGATTGGCTAATCCGTCACATCAAGCAGAACGCGGGTTACATAACAACTCTTCCAGATCCTCCTGTAGTAAAGACAAGGAAAACGGAATTTTGAACTATAAAAAAACGAAGCGAAATAGGATCTGTGTTTTAATCAGATTGATGAATCGTTATCAAAATGTGACAAAATCTAACTATCATGATTGTGTAGGGTGGGTTGCCCCCACCAGAAGCTGCTTCGATGTATTGTTAAAGAAATAAGAAAGGGAATTGATTTATCGCCCCGCATTATAGCCTTATTTACAGTCAAAGAATAACTTGAATCTAGACGAGTAAATCAGATGAAATGAAATCGGGTCCTACTTTTCGGCACCAACCGGGACAATAAAAACGTAAATATACGTCAAACATTATGTTGGGGGGTGGGGGGATTCCAACTGCCACTGGTTCTTATCCATAGGGCCCCGGAGTAAAATGTGATAGAGTTCTACAAACAGCTTAATGGGTATCAATGTTGCAATCCAAGTAAACACTAAATATTATTTTCGTTCAGTATATTCGGTGGCCATAATACAACTGCAAAGTAAAACGGAATGAAATATTGTTATGATGTTAATTTATCGGTCAATATAGATTATATATTCTGATAAGTCAAATTTATTGTAATAAACAGAAAATCATAATAACCAATCGATCGCCTTTAGGAATAATGAGCCATGAATAAGCATGACGGAAGGAATGTATTAATTGATTGTTATAAAGCTGTATGACGTTAATGATATATTAAAGCAAGTTGTTACTCGCGGGTTGGCTGCTGTTAATCTACTATTAAAAAGGTCAAAGGAATAAACACGTATATTTATCAGCTTTACTTTAAGATATTAATTTGTGATTTGTGGATTAAATACATAACTCGCAACAGTTGTTTCAATCCCCGTATAATCAAAAATTGGTTTTACAATATATCATGATACGAAGCCCCGTGTAAACAGGCTTGGAATGAAATGGGGTTTGACTTCAAAAGTTTCTGCACCAAACGGACTGTTAAAAGTATGCCCTATAGTGGCGTTTCCACCTGTTTGTGACCAAATTCCAACGGTCAAATGCTGTTTTACGTGGGGGCCAATGTATACACGAGAGGACCTTTGGTTTTCGTCCCGGGTGTCATGGTGGCTAAGTGGGTAAAACTCTGGCTCGCTAGCCTGGAGGTCAGGTGTTCGATCCCCGCATTGGCCGAGAACGTTCATCCCGATTTTCCGGCGTGGTTCCCCCTTGTCACTGATACAGGACGGAGGGCCTGACAAGGACAGCTGGCTAGTCGTTCGGGTGGGAAGAAAACCCGAGGTCCCGTGTACACATTGGCGTGTACATAAAAGATCCCTTGACAGCTGCTGGAATTCGATATAAGAGTAGGCCGTAGTGCCGCTGTCCGGGCAAATTTCCTTCATAGCACAATGTATGGCGTTGCCCATCTTCGTTAACCCAGTCGGAGCAGAACAGTAGGACGTTAAACCTCATTTCATTTCATTGGTTTTCTTCCCACCTGAAACTACTAAAAGTCTAAATGATTTTAATTACCAGTCTCTCCGTCCTGCACCAATGACAAGAGAAAACCAGCCTGGAAAATCCCAGGGAACTTTCCCAGCCAATACCGGGATCGAACTCGGGACCTACTGGTTAGTGCGCGACATATTCACTGACTCTCCCTTGAAGCTCACCCCAGTTCGCCAACTGAACAATAATCCGGCCCTGGTCTACACGTCATAAATCAAAAGAATATTTCAGCAGCTTCAGTTTACATAGTTGTTGTTCTAAAAACACATCGAATGACACTGGTGAGACGAGGCGTGTGTTTTCTAACATATGATACCACTTATCATGTAAGGTGTTCAGAACTCTCAACAAATTGTCACTGTACTTTCACTGTATAAAGACATCGTTAGTTCGAAAAACACATCGAATGATACTGGTGAGACGAGGCGTATGTTTTCTAACATCTGATACAACTCATTAATGGTGTTTAAAAATCTAACAAATTGTCACTGTGCTTGCATTGTAAAAATACACAGAAATTAACTGCGTGAATAATTGGGGCAGTTGTTCTATAATGTAAAATGGTACGACCAATGTGCCAATCGAGTGAGGATTTGATAAAAATGCACGTAGGCTATCGTGTATCCGTAAACCTCCGTTCAGCATCGGACAGCCACTGTTTAAGGGTGTGGGGTGAATGGTCGCCTGATAAGACTCCTATGCGCGTGAATTATTGAAATACTATTGGACCATATGTTAGTCCTGAAATGACCTAGTGGACGTTACACGCTCTCTCTCTCTCTCTCTCTCTCTAGCATCAATATATTACATAATGTCTTGCTCTCTGGGTTCCGGTAAAATTAAATGTGAAGGCAAACTTTTCAGAATAAGGCAATTTATTAATCTATATATTTCGTTATGGAGACTGATAAGGGGATCGTGCTTTTCGGAGATGTGCTGTATTTTTGTGGACTAGACTTGAGCAGTTGGAGGCCACGCTCAAGGAGTAAGGCGATAATCACTAACCAAAGCATACCGGATTTTACCCTCGAGATTTTCCAACGGGGTTTCCGCCGGCCAATGTAAAATACCGAGGCCCCGAGTACACGTTATCGTGAACGTAAAAGACCCCTTGACATTTGGATTTCGGTGAAGCATTGCCCTCATAGCACACTGTATGACGTATGTCAGTCTCCGTCATCCCGGTTGCTTCATTATTATTATCAGCTGTGACCTACTATTTACACGGTTGGCACGCAAAGGAGTTCCAGATATGGGACATGCACACCCCACTAGGTTAAATCCCTGTAGCATTATCGTACATCAAAACAAACATGTTAAGATATTTTTACAGCAATCATTTTATTAAAAATAATTGAGATGATGATGATCGATAGTATAGAAAGATGATTGATCTATCGATCTGTAAATATATACATACATGTATATTGCTTTCATAGTTTTACAATTGACATATTATAAATACTTTAAAATTTTGAGAGATAAAATCAATAACTAAATAAATCTACCTATAATCATTTACTTCAGAAAGAAAAACCTAAGAAACATTAGCTGAAAAGCATTTAGACATTCCTTATAAGGCCCAAAAAAGTTATCTGTGTTTACGCTTACCTAATCAACACTATTTTTAAAAAACAAAATCGCCGAGCGTAAACATTTTGTCGCATTTCCGAGGCCTTATAACTCGATCTTGGTCTTATTTTCTCTAGACAAATTTCAACAGTGAAATTTCGGTATTCATGCTAAAAACGCTTGGAAATGTATAATACAAACCCAACGAAAAATTGATGATTTTCCGACCGAAAAACAGACGATTTCCGACCGCCCGACCCTAGTAACCGTAAACAAAGGTGTCTTTTTTTTGGCCTGATATTAAAGTAAACAAGCATGCAAAGCACACAACAAATACGATACTTGAATTGGTGGTATCATTAAGACAGTGACCGAATGGGAAATTTCGATTTAAATTTAGCATTACAGTCTCATCGACCCATGGCCACCACTGTCATATGAGACGTTAATGACTTTCAATTATTGTACTGTATTTCTAAATTATCAAAACTTAAAGATATTTTCCATTCCTAAATTATTAAGAAATTTAAAGTGTATAAAACTTTGGCGATAAGTGCAATCTTCCTTTTGATATTCATTTATGTCTAACACATATATTCAATATACAAAAATTGTGTCAGTTATTAGAACCATTTTTTAAATAACAATTTTTCGGCATTATAGTCATAAATAGCAAACAAAATTAATTAAAATGAGTATATGAACATAGTTTTACATGAAATAAATTAACATCATGTTACAACAAAGCTTTACTTTTAAATGATAATAACTAATATATTAATTGCTCATTGCAAATGTTATTATCGCATATTTAAACCAGACGTTCCTTTGATCATAGCAAAGTTACCTAACTTTATTAGTTAACTTGAAGGTAACAAATTTTACGGGTGACTAAATTCAGACAATGGAATTTGGTAGTAATCGCTTTAATATGAATAAGACGAACAGCGGGGGTTTAACTTCAAAATGGAGGTCAACGTCCTGCCCGTATAAATCATTGTTATGCAGTGCAATGTAAATGACAATATTGGTCAAATCTTTACATGACATATTAATCTTCTAAACATCATTAATATTAAGCTTGGGTGGTCTTTCTAATATTTCGTTTTTTTTTTATTTTCATATTCAGATGTGTTTGGTTCATTTTTGGTTGTGTGTGGTGGGGGGGGGGGCTAGGTCTGACCGGAACACCTGATACCACTGCCCAACCCTAACTATATGATTGGATAGTTCAAACAACTATTTGTCTTGTGTAATATTAAAATCTAATTTTGACATCCCGTTACTTGACAGTTGGAATTCGAAATAAGAGTAAGACGTTGGACATTGTCAGACATGTGTCCGTCTTCACTGTGACTGTTTGTGCAGGAAATTAGGACGTTAAACTCCATTGCATATTATTTCACTAAGTCGAGTGCTGTCGTTCGCTTTTGAAGACTGTGTTTTGAATGGCCATACGAGTTATGATTGAAAATCCTACACTTTTAAAATATATCGTACGTAATATAGAACTACTTAAATCGATAAGACTGAAAATGACAATATAAGTAAAAATAATAAATGGGATAGCGCAATAATAGTGTGTATGTACAGGTACAAAATATTATAAGTATATAATACAGAACACAAATCATTGAACTATGTAAATATAGGCACTCGTACAGTCACTAATAGACATGCATCATCAGTTCTTATCATCAATACATGCGTGAATCATAGCTATTATCATCAGTTAGTAAACATCAGCGACTATTATCATCAGTATGACACATCATATATTTATATCATCATCGGCTTTTATCATCAGTATTACACATTAAACATGTATATCATCAGCTACATTATCGCCAGTATTACACGTGATACACATTAGAATGTATATCATCAGCTACACTATCATTAGTATTACACATAAAATATGTATATCATCAGTTGTTATTATTCATCAGTATTACACAGAATACATGTTTATCACGTTTTCATTTTTATTTACATTAAAGATATGAGAATTTCGTTGACATCAACTGGAGATCGGTCAATAGAATAGAGACACAGTGATACACACAACCAAACAAATACACCCAATAAACTACATTCCGTATGTGATATGTTGTCTTATTGGAATACTATCGTTTTCACTGTCCGTTGTCCGGGATCTAAATTTCACAATTTATAATCAACCGTCGAATTTGTCTTTATTAAGGATGCTGTTTTTTCATCACCTTCAGAGGATGGTCAAGAGATAATTGAAGGCCCCAAAGCAACTCTTTGCATAGGTTTACTCGCTTCTCGGCAGCTGTTATTAGGAGAAGTGGAATGTCCATTTCGGGTTTGAGCTTTGGGACTTATGTTATCAGGTTGTTCGTTTTCGGGACCATCATATAATTCGGGCTTATCCAATAAGCCAGATCTTTCTCGCTTTTTTTGTTTGAATCGTCCTGATCGAGATATTGAGAGCGAATGACGTAACCGTCGCTTTTCTTGTTCATCATCCTCCTCGCGTTTCTTCTCGTCATCCTTAGATTTTTTCTTAAACATCTTCAGGAAAGACATTTTGTAATTAGATTCCCTTTTTAAAAAATTGAACACACGCCAAATCAGGACAATCCCAACGTAAGATAACACTTTCACAACAGGATCTCCAAGCTAAGAAATGCTACTTCTGATTCTTGAAATCTGAAAAGATAAATTATTAAAAAAAATTAAGACTTTAAGAACTTTAATGAAGAGTCGAAGTCATTATTAAAACATAAGGGAGAAACATTTGGTTGATGTTTGACGAAGTGCGTGTTAAAGATCAACAAAGCTGACATGAAAATATTTGAGTTTGAGCGGTACAACCATCTTCGAGTCTCATCATTAAACAATGGCTAGTTTCCAGGTATATGAAATAAAGAGCGCGAGAGATCAGAGACAACCGAAACAATGCCTTGCCAGCTTTTATTGTTGACATATTGATCTGCTTGTCTCTGATACATAAATCACCTAATACATATAGTACGAGTTGGGTTGTATAAAGGATGGAGGGCCTGACAAGGACAGCTGTCTAGTCGTTCGGATGGGACGAAAAACACAGGTCCCGTGTACACATTGGCGTGCACGTAAAAGATCCCTTGACAGTTGGAATTCGATATTAGAGTAGGCCGTAGTGTCGCTCTCCGGGCAAAATATCCCTCATAGCACACTGTATGGCGTATGCCCGTTTAACCCAGTTCGGAGCAGAACAGTGGGACGTTAAACCTCATTTCCTTTCATTTTGGGTTGTATAACCACCCAATACATATGGTACAGGAGTTGGGGTGTATAAACCACCCAATACATATGGTACAGGAGTTGGGTTGTATAAACCACCCAATACATATGGTACAGGAGATGGGCTGTATAACCACCCAATGTAAGGTAATAACAGGTGAAATTGTTTCCAATTAAAATGAAATTTCTTTGATTACGTTTCTATTAGTAAGAAGAATCAAATAATAGCTTCTGTTTTTTCTCAATACATACACATTTTCTAATTAGGCATTTATTTATATGGCAAGCCAATAATCAACTCTCTAGGTGGTCGGGTGGTCGTGTCTTGAAAGGATTAAAACTGAATCGCCATTTAATAATTTAATGTAAAAAATGGATAATCGAGATTTTATTAGCGTAGCAACTGTATTTGACAATCGAGACTATTTGACAAAACGTTAAACACTCACAACGTCGCTCAAATTAACATGACAGTAATTTTCAATATATTCATTTTTTATTATTAAGTGTGTGCGTCAGCTTAGTAAACCAGAAAGGTAATATATTTAAGCGTGCAACACACTTTGTGCATCATAGATATAAACCTTCCAGTTTACTACGGCATTGTGCTTGATAACGATAAGAGGATACTTGTCGAAACGTCGCGCTTGTGTGTGATAAACCAGTGATTGTTGTTATAACTGTGTTAGTATTATTATTTTTGGACTAGTATAGCAACATCGACCAGTTCTTTATCTAAAACGTACATACTGCATCTTTAAACAATGAAAGATAACATACTGTTTTCTTTTGGATAAATGAAAGTATATCAACACAAAAAACTTGGGGAAAATTTTCCGTATGCCCCGTCGTGTTATTGAATAGGTAACCATGAATGAACTCAAAAGAAGTGATTTTGCATTGGACGAAGTGAATAGCGACGTGGCTAATTAATAGTTACAAAAGAAGTCTCTGAAGATGCACAAAAGCCGAGGTCGTCGTGAACTTATTATAACATCCTTTTCAATTGTCAATAAATAATAGAGAGATATAATAATTATAGACACAGTTATTCATCGTCGTGGTGCATTCTAATTTCATTATGCGTACAATTACGGATGGATGATTTTTTTCTGATTTCTTATTCTATGAGTTCACAATTGGCTGTATACATATCATCTAAGAACTAAGGGAATTTATCATTAAAATTCATCTGTGGATATCATCCCGTTACCCAATATAGTATCTTAGTCAACTAATTACTATCCTATTTCTTATTCAGAGCCCGTCTTCATTTCATTTTCAATTCGTATTAGAATAGAAAAACAGTTTTCTATTCAGTTAATTGGTATATTTTCTTGATCATAAGTGTGATATCAGCATGCCCGACCCCTACATACGTTTAAACAACAGTATGTAGAATAACAAGTACAGGAGAACCGCACTACACACAAAAACAAACCCGACCACATAGATATAAACCACATAGATATTGCAAGAAATAAACAAGAATGATCAAATCAAGGGAATGGGTCATGGGACCAACCCTAGGCGTCAAGTCAACTGGGTGTTATAATATCTTTTATCTTTCACGGTTCGAGGTATAAAGAATTATTTTTCAAAGTAAGACCCGGTTAGTTATAAATAGTGATGAGTGTCACAAATGGGCCGGGTAGGTCTACAGTTTCATTCTAGAAAAATGATACCACTTCTATAACTCTCATAATTCGTCTTTAAATGAATATATTGTACGGAATATACCATTGACTTTCAGTAAAGAAATCACAAACACAATCTGATTAAAACACAGATCTATATTTCGTTTCGTTTTTTTTATAGTTTCGATGGCCTATACTACATGAAGATCTGACCAGTTGTACTGGAAGGTCGCTTCAGGGGTCGTACGAGCGGCTTTTGACCATATGACGTCAGACATTGATTAATCAATCAGCGTTGACGTTTCTAGTGGTTTACCCACAGTTCCGTGTATGACACGCCAAGAAGTCGCCGTAACAGATGGTTTCATTGGTTAATCCTTCATGCCATCCAGAACGCCTGTTATATAACAACTCATCCAGATCCTAGTGTAGTACAGACAAATAAAACGAAATTTAAACTATAAAAACGAAAAGAAATAGGATCTGTGTTTGAATCAGATTGTAACAAACATGATGTCTTGTTTGCAAAGAGTATCACCGGTTAAACATTTCACAATTAATAAAACATGGATTTTCTTTTTAAAAACGTTTGTATAACATTATGTAGAAAGTTCATCATAAAGACAAACCCTTACATATATGTTCTGGGGAAAGTAAGTATATCCCTCTCTGTGTATCGCACTCATCACATTATTTCTTTCTGGATAGTAGGCATTTTAGATTGGAAATGGGTGTAAATAACTATTACAACGATACAGTGTGAAAGCAGATAAAACAATTATAGCATACCAGAAAAACGTCCCGACGGAACAATGGTTCCCAACCGAGCTAGTTGCTTTACAGACGTATGACAAATAAAATATTTAACATTACAAATCAATATTTCAAATATTCTTCATGTAGCCATTTATAACATTGTATAACCACTCCCAAGTTCTTCACATCACGAAACGTCTATTTTTTTTTTATTCCAGAAAATGCTCACCATCCCAAACATAAATGAACGTCTCTACGGTATCGGATTTAAATGTAAACAATGTGAAACTTTGGTATCATGTCGACGATTCTTATGGGAAAAATGGTAATGATTTTCGTTCAAGCGGACAACGACCATCTTGTAAGCAACAAAACAGGATGTTGTAAATTTGTTTGTGTTTGTGAGAACGGAACAGCTTGCTTGATGCAACAGAACTAAATATATGAAGCGTTAGGGTATATAGGGTATGCAACAGAGAAATGTGTTTTAAAGTTTGCCAAACACAAATTATGAACCATTCTAGATCATTTACAATGCAACTCACTCTCAGAAAGAATGATATGTAGCTACTGACGCTCCGTCTATTCTTTTATAGCGGTTTCGTTGGCAATGCTAAGGGCCTTTTCCCTATACAGTCTTATCCATAGAAACTTCTTTAAATTCCATATGTCGAATTATTTAGGTCTCCTCCAAACGTATGGACATACGTACATGTACCATAATTATTCGTCCCTTTGGTATTACTCCGGTAAGTGGGAAATCGATATAGAAACTGCCAATGGCTGATTTTAATTTATGCTCTCGAAAAATAAATTCGTCATATGGCGAATCCAACACACCCCATCCATAAATAAACCACAATAATATTCATACTCCATGTTAACAATTAACGGTAATTAAATTAATCTAACCAGAATAATCAAACTGGACAAGACTTTGTGATCGTAGCCTTGTCGGTACTAGCTCCACCAGGGATTCGCCTCGCGCGAAAGAGAAATGGGGTTTAACGTTCACTCGACACAAACTAACCTATGGTTCAATTTTATTTCAATAATTCGCTTGCGCGTAGGGGTCTTTAGCACTGGGAGGAAACCGGGCGACCCCGAGAAAAGCCACGAGGTTGGACAGGCAACCCTACTTCTTGTCACGTACAACCGGGGAATCGAAACCACGTCAGTTCAATCAATGACAGACCTTATGGTACAACGCGCACGTGCTAACCATTCGGCCATCCAACCCACCGCTTCGCCCGGTATGCTAATATATTTTTAATAAGTGGTAAAAATGAATACTACTACATGCTCAGAAGACAGAACAAGAAAACCCTCGTTGTGTAAACCATAAAAACATTGTTTGTCTATCATGGTGTTCATTGACAATAGAATGAATGTATTTGTTTCTTCGAATTACTATTCTCTTGTTTATTTGTCATCACTCATGACAGGCGGATTTGGCTTTTTCTAGTGGATTTACCTTGGAAAGACATATACCCATCTTTCTCGCATTGTCTTCGTAACAATAGCCGGCCTAAAAGTTAAGATACATCTGCACCTTGGAGGTCTTCACACAGTGTCCACTCGACACAAACTAGGTCATTTCGGGACTAACACATGGTACAATTTTATTTCAATAATTCATTTGCGCGTAGGAGTCTTTAGCAATGTGTGTGTGTGGGTGGGGGTGGGGGTGGGGTGGTGGGGACCGAGTTGATCAGTGACCTTTCTATTTGTAACGCCACGTTACTCGAATCAATGACAGATCTTATGATCTAAAGCGCACGCTCCACCCACGCCGATAATAAAACACAATTTTTGTTATTAATTTGACCATACGGCTAACTTTCTTTTGAAGTAACTCCTGAGATATGAACATTTTATCAATCGTAAAAAATGTCTATAGTAGTTTGGTTTTTAAATTAGTTTAACGAAAGAGTTTGATAGGCAGCGTATAGATATTCAATACTTTGAGTCGCCAAGGATAAATTTGAAAATTATTGTCCTGTTGAGTGATAATTAATTATAATTATTTTT